CGTAAATGTAATGTGTAAAATAACCACAACATAAAGTGGGGAGGCTAAAGGGATGTATTCTTACATTCTACTTGAAGTGTTCAAGTATTGATTCTAAGTGGACTCTGAAGTGAGGTGTATAATCCCTAGAGCAACCAATAAAAAAAGTATACAAACAGATATAGTAAAATAGCATAATAGATGAATTACTAAAAATTGTTCAAATAATCTAAAAGAGAAAATGGCAAACAGTGGAATGGAAAACAAATGGAGCAGTCAGAAAACAAATGATATCATTGTAGAATTAAATTCTGATATATCAATGATTACATACCAGTTAATGGAGAGATTGTCAGAATTCTTCAAAAAATGACCAGTGATTTCTACTTTTGGAAAAATGGAATAGATGTACATTTCCCTTTTCTTCCCATGGAATATAACTGAAAATCCTGGAAATTATATGTACAAACACAAGAAGACTTTGACAGATGGAGTAAATCAGTCAGATTGCCTAGGGACCTTGTGACCCAAGGAATGACATAATTGTAAGTTACCTGGGTTTCTTTTTTGCCTCATCTGTTCTAGACTAGGAACTGAAGAAGCTGGTCACCCAGAAATGCCAATAGTCACAGAAATTTTAAAAAGCACCGAGACAATCCAACTCTGGAGCCAAAGGACCAGGAAAGGGCCAGCCAACAAGATAGAAACACTTAGAAAATAACCACTCTATTCCAGCCAAACACTAGTAAAGTCCAAGTGGAGAGTATAGACTTCCACTCTCACCTTGCTGTAATCCCCCCAGTCACCACTAGGGTATTGTCAGAGAAGGCTGAGTAGGTAGTTGGTACTTTTCATCCTTCTGGATAACTGCCCCCTGCCGTTTCAGTGAAGTTCATGTGGAGACCCTGGACTGCCACCCCATAATAGCATATGAATAATTCCATTAAACAGTTAAAAGAAACCAACAAAAGGCAGAGATCATGAGAGTGGATTAAAATCATGACCTAACTATATGCTATGTGTAACTGACTTCAAGTATAACATAGGTATGTAGGAAATAAAAGGATGGAAGAAGATATATCATGTAAACATTAATCCAAGTAAAGCAAGAGTGGTTATATTAATCTCAGATTAAGTAGACTTCACAGCACAGAAAATTACCATATATAGAAAGGAAAATTATATAATGATAAAATGGTCAGTCCATAAAGAAGTTATAGCAAATCTAAAAAGGTATGCATCAAACAACAGACCTGCAAACTATGTAAAGCAGGAAGTGACAGAATTAAAAGGATAAGTAGACATATCTTCAATGATAGTTGAAGACTTCAACACCCCTTTCTCAACAATTGATAGAAGAATCACAGAAAGCTCACCAGGGATAAAGAACTTGACATCACCAACCAACAGAATCTAGTTGACGTTTATAGAACACTCTAACCAACATCGGCAGAATATATATTCTTTTCATGTGCCCACAGAGCATATACCAACATAGAGCACATCCTGGGCCTTAAGACAAACCTCAACAAATTTAAAAGAACTAAAATCAAACAGAGTATGTTCTCCAATGGCAGTGGAGTCAGTCTAGAAATCAGTAACAGAAAGATAATAATAAAATCTCCAAACACTTGGAAAATAACACTTTTCTAAATAATGCACGAGTCACGGAGGGGATCTTAAGTAAATAAATACAGTGAACTGAATGAAAATGAAAATACAACATATCAAAACTGTGGGACACAACTGAAGCAGTGATGAGAGGGAAATTTATAGCACTAAATTATTACATTAGAAAAGACAAAACATCTTAAATTAATCATGTGAGCTCTCATATCAAGAACCTAGAAAAAGAAGAGGAAAATAATCCCAAAGGAGGCAGAAGAGTGTAAATCATAAAAATAAGAACAGAAATAAAAAAAAATTTTAGACAGGAAAAAAAAATAGAGAAAAATCAGAGTTGGTTCTTTGAAAAGATGAATAAAATTGACAAACATCTAGCAAGATGGACAAAGATAAAATGGGAGAAAACACAAATTAGCAGCATCAAGAATGAAGCTACATACTTTTCAGAGATAAAAAAGTTAGGGAACAGTATTAACAACTTTGCATACATACAGTTGACAACTTAGATGAAATGGACCAATTCCTTAAAATCACCCACCAAAAAATCTCACCCAGTTTGAAATAGATAATTTGAATACCCCTGTACCAATTTAAGACATTGAAGTTATAATTTGAAAATTCCCCAAAAGAAATCTCCACTGGAGATTCACCAAATAAATCTGCCAAATGTTTGAAGACTAATTAGTATGGTTTATACACAGTCTCTTTCAGGAAATAGAAGGGGGAAACCTTCCCAATTCATTTTATGAAGGTAGCATTACCCTGATACCAAAGCCAAATAAAGGCAGTACAAAAAAAAAAAGGAAGGAAAGAAAAGTATGGACCAATATCTTTCATGAATGTATATGCAAAACCCTTAACAAGGTATTAGCTAATAGAATTAGCAATTAAAAAGAATTATATACCATTACCAACTGGAGTTTATTCCAGGGATGCAAAGTTGGTTAAAACACCCGTCAACGTAGTCCACTGTATTAACAGGCTAAAGAAGAAAGAAAGAATCACGTGATTCATCAGTTGATGCACAAAAAGAATCTGACAGAATTCAGTACCCATTCGTGAACCACTCAGCAAACTAGGAATAAAGGGGACCTTCTGTAACGTTATAAAGATCACCTACCAAAAAGCTACAGATAATGTTCTTAATGTTGAAAGACGAATGCTTTTCTCCTAAAATTGGGTGTAAGGAAAGGCTGTCCTCTCTCACTACTCTTCTTTAACACAGTGCTGGGCCTGTTAGCCAGGCAATAAAGCAAGGAAAGGAAATAAAAGGCAAACAGATGGGAAATGAAGAAATAAAACTGTCCCTATTTGGAGATAACATGATTGAATGTGTAGAAAATGCCAAGGAATCTATGAAAACAACTTCTAGAAATGAAATTTTAAGGTGTAAGTCTAGCAAAACTTGCATAGGACCTGTATGCTGAAAACTATAAACTGCCAATTGAAGAAAATGAATATCAAAATAAATGGGGAGATGTCAGTTCTCTCCAAATTGATGTATAGGATTAACACAATTCGTGCCAAAATCCCAGCAAGATGTTTTTTGTAGATATACAGAAGATTATTCTAATATTTGTATTGAAAAGCAAATATAATAGCTAAAGCAATTTTGAAAAAGAATAAAGTTGGAGGAATCACTATACTCAATTTCAAATACATTAGGTAGCTACAGTAATCAAGACTGTGTGGTGTTGGTGGAGGGATAAACACAGATCAATGCAACAGAATAGAGAACCTTGAAATAATCCCACACAAATATATCCAACTGATTTTTGACAAAGGTGCAGAAGCAGTCAGTGGAGGAAGGATAGATTTTTCAATAATCTCTGCTGGAGAAATTGAACATCTATAAACAAAGGAAACAAACCAAACCAAACCAAAACAAAAAAATCCTTGACTTAAGTCTCACACCTTATATACAGATGCACTCAAAATAGATCACAGACTTAAATGTAACGTAAAACTAACAAACTTTAAGAAAAAAACATAACAGAATATCTTTATACTCTAGGGATAGACAAAGAATCCATAAAAGGAAAAATTGATACATTAGACTTCATCAAAGTGAAAAAGTTGGCTCTTTGAAGACACTGTTAAGAGAATGAAAGACAAGCTACAGACTGGGAGCAAATATTTGCCCAGCATGTATCTGATGAAGGACTAATATCTAAAAATAATTAATTCTCAAAACTGAGCAGTAAAAAAACCCAAATGATCCAGTTAGAAAAAGGGCAAAAGACATTCCACTAAAAAGTATATACAGATAGCAACTAAGCACATAAAAAGATATTCAACATCATCAACCATTAGGGAAGTGCAAATTAAAGCCATAATGAGATGGCATTACACACCTATTGCAATGACTGAAATAAAAAATAGTGACAACACCAAATGCTGGCGAGGATGTAGAGAAACTGGACCACTCATCCATTGTGGTTTGATTTTGTGTGGTTTTCCTTGTATTTATCCATATCTTTTGTCCATTTTGGGAAATTCTTATCCTATATTTTAACAGTTTCCAGTAATTAAAAAAACATTTTTTTAATGAATGAATAAAGACTATGAGCTTTGTGTAAGGTAATTGACTGAAAAATGTTTCCTCATCATGCTCTGCATGTGTATTTCCATCTAGACAATTATAAACATGGAAACAAAACAGCACAACTATATATGGTGTTTCCCCATTGTTGCGCCCTAAGTGATATCTACCTTGTTCTTACTGTCAGAATTGACTGATTGTCATATAGGATATGTTAGGCTAATTTTGCTGTAAGTTTTATTTTTTAATTAAACCTGTGCGAGGATGTAAGCAGTGAAATATCCTCTCCAGACCTTTAAAAACTAAGGATAATGGGTATTGGGTGATGGAGAAGTCTGTGGCCCTTCTATTAGCACTTAATAATTTCTCACCTCTCATTTTTCATTAGCTGGGCATAGTTTTCCAAGCACTTTGATATTGCCTTTCTCAGTTGCCCTCACAACGACTCCTTGAGCTTGGCAAGCTTGCAGAGATAGTCTCTGAGGCAGAGAAGCCTCTTGACAGATAAGGGTCCAGAGTGGTAAATCTCATTTCAGAGCGGTCTGGAACTTCCCAGGATGGCTCTGAGTCTGTATTTGAGTGCCTGTTTTATACTCATCAGGTTACCTAGCTCCAAAATATCATAGTCCTTCCATGGACACAATAAGTGGTCCAGCCAGAAACAAAGTTGTCTTCCTTGTCTTTCTTTTATGGTGTTACGCCAACTGCATACAAGAGAGAAGACTTTGTTATCTGCTTGGAAAGAGGGAGGGTTCTCATCTCCCTCCCAGTTGACTGATGCTTCCTAACAGCCCACCAGCCATCTCAGAAAGAGCCCTCCTGTAAATATTTTGGTCGACCACTTCTCTTGCAGCTGACTCAGGAATTGAGATGGGTAGTCTGCGGATCCTAGAATCAGTCTGGAGATGGTGATGAGATTGCCAAGTGGAATTGCCGTAAGCCTTGACTAGCAAGAAGCAGCTTACCTTGTGGAATCTCGGGCCTTTCTTCTGACCACTGTAGGGACTAAGAGAACAAGGTAAGCGAGGAAGCACAATGGTGGGGACTGAGGCACATGTTGGGAAGGCAAAACGATGGAGACAATGTATGAAGCTTCAGAGTCCTTCTTGAGATAAATCATACTCACGTGGGGCAATTGTTCCTTCAAAAATATCGCTGGAGGAGTTGAACCAGAACCATGGGAATTGCAGGGAATGCATGGGAATGCAGTAAATAAAATAGGAATATCCCCTGCTTTCATAGCACCTACTGCCTAGCGGGGGTGTACTTCATAAACAAGTAATTACACAACTGTACATCAGGGTTCTTTGTGGGAGAAGAACAGGTTGCAATTGGGGCACGTAAGAGGTCATCTTGACCTGGTGTCAGGGGGTCCTGGAAGGATTCCTGGAATTAGGGGTATCTAAGCCGAGTCATAAAGGAAGATCAGACACTTGTTAGGTGAACACATGTGGAGGTAGAGTAGAGGGAAAAGAGTGGGCAAGGAAACGAAGATGTTTCAAAGAACTAAGATTATTGCAGTTTGGTATGACTTTAGCTGTGGCTTTAGCATACAGAATGGGGAAAAGAGGTCTCTAGGCAAAACCTAGTATTACTTTGAAAAACTGGGTCGAAGTGCTTAACTTGAAATGTAGAGAATCGCCATGAATGAGCCACTGGCTCCCCACTGTCTACTAGTGTGTTTATGTAGGAACACTGACTTCATATATGCCGGCAAGATGGTGCAGGTTAACTCAAGATTTCTATGAGTACGTTTTGCCTTGCCTGGCAAGTTGTGAAATCTGTCCCCTCACTGAGGCAGACAGCGCCCTCCAGTGGCAGTGAAGGTGAGAGCTCCAGCTGCTATAAGGACGGTGCATTTTTGCCCATTCCCCTCTGAGGTCACAGTCAGTTGAGAGTCAGTAGAGTCTGCTGAAATTCTGAAACCAAGTAAGACAAAGAGAGTGCTAGTCCTTATGGAGAGCTGACTTATTATCTAAATGTTAATCCTTTTAATATACCTCCAAAGCAGTCTCCTGGTTGAGAAAAATTACCAAAAAATAATGGAGGAGAGAATGAGGACTATAAAAAATGGGAAATGTTCTGTCATTTCCCTTTCAACCCCCGCCCCCCCAGAACACTGATTTAGCTTTGGATGGTGGAAGGGAATTAGTAAGTGGATCTACTGGTGTAAACAATTTTAACAATAGAAAGTTAATTTCTTCTCAACTCTTCTAAACGTTGGAATAAGACTTTGACGTGTTACCAAATAGCCAGTCTATTTAGGTGCTTACCTGTCTGGGATCAAGACAGAATAAAAAGAGGTGTGTGTCTGGGGGAGGGGACAGCTGTGGTTCATGTCATAATGTCCCAGGACACACCCAATTCCCCTTCCCCCTACAGGGGGAAAATTGGGATCCCACTCTACCCAAACGTGTTGTGAGTTTGAGCATATTAAATTTTATTTAGTTATTCTACAGAAACCTCAAGATTTAAGAAGGTGCCCAATGGTGTGGATAGAATTGCTTTAAATGACATCAGAGCTGGAACGCAGTAGTTACTTTTCTTTCTGCCTAAATAGGAAGAACGGCTGAGTCGGGGGAAGTGACCCTGTGGTGCTTTTCAGAATCCTCTAGGTGGCGCTGCTGCAATAGCTATTGGCCAGAAAATTTTTAAGCACTTAAGTAGCAAACCAAAACTTAACTTATTGAATGTCTTATATTCATGGTTAATTGCTAATATGATCCTGCTGATAATTTATACCATCACATTTACATAATAGTCTCCTAAGAGTGAGCCTATACACATAAATTCCACAACCGAGTAATTTCAAGGGTTGGAATACATGTACTTCTCTGGTTATTATTTCATAAAATTATGGACTTTCGCGTGTGGCTGAATTCTTCCACACACGTTAAAACTGGCTGCAGGATTAGCTCTTGTGACCTCTACTTGTGTTGGACAGTGTAGGACAGTGCCTTGTACACAGTAGGTGCTAAATTAACATTTATCAGAGGAATTGATTCTATTTTGTTTTTCCCCTTTCACTGCAAATTGGAGATGAGGTGGCTACCTGAATTAAGTTTTGTGCAGCCCTGGTCAGACATTGCTGCTCATCTTTGCTAATAAAAAGACTGGGAGGCCATTTTTCCTTTATTTCTGAAAATGGCCTGAGGTGGATATATATATATATATATATAAAAGAAATCACTTCTTCATTTAAAAAGTAAATTCGTTTTCAGGTTGGTTCCATTGAAATGCAGGAATGGTATGAAAAATTGTGTTTGATAATCGCTCGAATCTTAATCAAGATTTTATTAAAATCAATATTTGATATGCTGCTCAATTTAATTAAACTAAACCATAGAGAAATGAGTGATAAATGGGCTTGAAAATCAGTCACGGGATAAGGTATGTTTCTTTTACTTAGTTTAACCTATGAAATGTTGGGTTACGCAATCGCTGTGACGACAAAAGGAACAACAACAAAAATCTCCGCTTTTATTTATACAATATGGACAACTAATATGAATGAGCAGGTACTCTGTGCCAGGCACTGTGCTAAACCTTGTGTATTAAGTTTCCTAATTTATTTTGGAACAAAATCCTACGAGGTCTGTCTCCTCAGTTGAGCCAGCGTGCGTGTCCCAGGTCACTCAGCCGGTAAAATGACAGAGGTGGATTTTAACACAGTGATCCAGCTTTTCCCACTCCCTTAAACTGCTCACAAGGAGGAAGAAAAAATATAATTTGACTGTGGTTAATTTTAGAGAAGGTCAGTGGTGGTCATTTTCTTCCTAGAAGAAGTTTTGCTTTTAAGGCTAGTGATAGAAGAGAAGTGGGGGGCAAAAAGCCGAATCAGAAGGTCTCAGCGTTGACTTAGCAGCTCTGAGTCCTGTGGACTGGAGGAAAGAAAAAAGGTTTTTCTTTTTCTGGACAGACACAGAATATGGTTATTTACTATATAATTTATGCTTATTGAGAGTGGCAGAGATTTACGGCTTTAGTAAAAATGTGTTCTAATTGGGATTAGCTAATGAAAAAGTGGTGGCACTGCAGAGGCAAAGTTGGAGAATGGGATTTCAGTGGAGGTGCTTCTTCTCTCATGGGAGGCCAACAAAAGGGCTAGTGTCACGCACTGGGGCGAGAATCAGGCCTTCAGAGTTTGTGCCTGCACTCTTGGCTCTAAGTGTTCTTAGTCGTCCAAAGAATCGGCTCGAGGAAACTAAAGGTAGTCTTGTTAAATACCATCGGCAAAGAGAACGAAACTGCAGCTTCCTGAAAAACCTCCCTCATTTTTATTCAGTGCTTGTTCGATGGGATGGAAATTAAAAATCAACAATAGTCACAACCACACAACTGTTACGACTTCCCTGCTCTAGGCTGAGGATAATTTTTCTTTCAAGTCACGCTTCCCAAACGACGGTCATTCATGTATCACATGCACAGTTTTTGACATCTCCCTGTACCTCTCGTGTTACTTAATATTTTCACTGAAAATGGTTTGTTTTTAAAAACTGAAATCGAATACACTTATTTTAGAAGGAGGCTTTGTGTCACGACCGCGAGTGGGAAGCCAGTGTTACGTTTTCTAAGAAGGATAAGAGTGAAAAGGAATACAGTTAAGGCAAAACACTGTTATCAAATTTTAACTCCCGGGGAGTATCCAGAGGTCATAAAGACATACTTGTACCAAACTGAGACTTCCTCTTTTATTATATCTGAGGAATAAGAAAAGATTTGAAAAGGGAATGATTTTTTCATTATGCGAATCAATTTTAAACAACAAAGTGTCTATGTAACACCTAAAATCAAGTTTCCCACCAGAGGTGCGTCCTCCAGCCTTTGTGATCAACAGCCCATGAAGCTTTGTCTGCTGCTTACGTGAGCCTTTGCACCCCTTTCTTTACTTCCCGTCTTCCTCCCAATAACATTTGAACCTTGCTCCCCACCCATCTAATTCCACTTATCTTATCTCTAAACATTTAGAGAATCCTGTCAAGTGAACAGACTCGGGATGGGAGGCAGATTACAAAATGAATGGTTCCCACTGTTGGTTAACACTTCTTTTCTCCATATATGATGTTTGAGATAGTTTTTCTCTAACCGGAAGTGACAAGTTTCCAATAATAGTAAAGTAAATGTAACGAAAAATATGTCTCGTTACCACTCCCGACTTCATGTACCCAGTTCCCTCTTCCACTGATGACAGAGGCAATCACTGTCATCATGTTTTCTGTGTTCTTCCAGAGGTATCCTGCATCCATGCAAGTTTACTTGAACCTGTATTCCTCTCCTTAAATGTCACACAGATGGAAGCACACTCTACATGTAAATGTAGAATGCTACATTTTATTTATAAACCCAACAATGTGTTTTGGATGTAGTTTCATATTAGTATGTATAGCCCTAGCGCAGTCTTTTGAATACTGCATAGAAGGACTCTATGCACGTAACTAATCCCCTTTCTATGGGCACTTGGATCATTACTTTTTCTTCTGCAAACAATACTGTAATATCCTTGCATAATTCTTTTTGGGCCCATGATGACCATTAAGAAATAAATCTAATGCTGGGCAGTATTCATTCAAATGGATGGACTTCTAATTATAATAATTAGAGAGGGCAAACATAGTCATATTTCTTTCATGAGGATTGGCTTTCTCTTTTTCCTTACCCATAATATATCAATAAATTTGTCTCTGCTCTGGTGTCCTGCACAGCATGAAGCATCCTGATTTGCAGATGCAATTGTGGGTTCTATGTTATGTTTGTTGCATTTGTCTAATACTATTTAATTCTTCCTTGTCATGATCACATTTGAAATTAGTCCTGTGGTTTTGTGCTCAATGGCTGTCTCTCAGGGGATGACAAACTCCGTGAAGCCAGGGAGAGACTTGGGGATGTTGAAAAATCCTAAACTTCTGACCTTAGGGAAAATAAGTGCCACATAATTTTAATAGCAAATAGATACACATTCCTAGTGCAGCCTGAATGGGAAATAGGAAGGAAAACAAAAAGAAAGGGAAAACAACCCAT